TTAAAAATCCCCAATTAGAAGTGAATTTTGATTGGATGGTAGTGTCTGATACTGCTAGCAAATCATCAAAACCAAAACCAAGTAATATAAAAAGAGTTGAGGTAAATGGAAAAAGTTCCATTTGAAAATGCTTCAAAATATTTTCCTTGATGTCATCTTTCCTAAGTAAATTAAAAAAAAAGAAGATAGAGTTTTCAAATACGGATTTTGAATAGCTGGATCCATATTAATTCCAATCAGGATTGTTGACCTTTATTTTCCCTGATGAGTCTTCAGTTTGCTGTGTTCTTCAAATCCTGACATAATGTGTTTTGGATTTTGCTATGTACAGGAGGAGGAGGATGATGCTGGTCTCTAACTGCCTCGTTTGTTGCTAATCAACTGGTTGTAGAGTGCTGTAACACCCTGGTAACTCATAATCAGATTTTTCTTGTATATTCACTAATACAAGGACCAATTCCTGAATGCCTTTTCAGGCCAAGCAATTTATATTAAACGTTCCATTCTTAATGCTCTCTCTCTCTCTCTCTCTCTCTCTCTCTCTCTCTCGATGTACGCGGGCTTAGATTTCAATAGCATTCCCAACTTAATGATAAATGAAAATGGTTGTAGGTTGTAACAATTTGATTCCATTGAGCACTCTCATCAAAATCAGGGAGAATATGTGATTAATCAGTTTTGTCTGGTTTAGGATGCGTGAATGGATTTGATCAGTACAATTTATAATTAAATTGAGCTATTAAGATCCATGTTTAGTCAGTCCAAGATCTAAATCCCAGTCATATGAATGAAATAAATCTTATAACCCAGCTAGCTGTTCTCTTCTATACGGATTATCATTTGTGAAATAAGGAATTCTCATCTTCAAAAGCAGCCTTATAATGATCTATTAATCATGTAATTATTGAAGATAAATCCTGAAACAGAGGATGATAATTAATGAGATAAAAACAACAATCCTAGTTGTGGGGTAAAGATATTATCCGTCAACCGGTATTCACGATCAGTTCACTTAAGGCTTTTCAAACAAAATTATTGATCAGTCTTCTTGACAGCATCAATGGCAATCGCCAAAATTAAGTACATGTAAAAAGGCCACAAAGTTCTGTTTGCTGAAGGGGGAAAGCACTTTTGTGGATCTGCTTTTTAGTCTTGTCTTTTGCCTCTAGGCATTGCCACTAAACTCGTCTCTAACAAGGATGACATGGGTGGAAGCTTAGTCAAACTTTACAAGAGCATTGAAAATCTCAGTGACACATACTACAACCTGCTACTGACAAGGAGGAGGCCTTGCTGAAACCTACGAACTTTCTGCTGGAGCTAATGTCCTTCGGATTTTGACCACCGATGATCCAAAGGCCCGCTGAAAAGTTCTGTTATGCAACCAGTTGCTGGTATGTCTCAGACAACCCTAAGCTATTTGTCCACGCTGCAGAGGAACTATAGTCCCACAAGATGTATATTGCTTTACCAGCAGCAACTATAAGGCGACCCTTGAGATGACAAAAAGAAATTGATGTTATATTAGTAATAAAGACACATTTATTCACTCATCTGTAAACTATATTCCCTACATATAGGTAATGACAGATTTGTACCTGTAGAGTTGGCTTTGTGGTCGACTGATGCAGGGTCCGAGGTGATCCTCCCACTTCATGATCCATTCACCATTCCATTTTTGAATTTGTTTGAATTTAGGACTTCTTTCTAAGCCTTCTTTTTTTAAACGCTTATGCATATGCTGCCCTTCTTCTCTGTCCTCAATATTTCCTGAATGGCTACCACCAACAGCGCTACTGTGAGTTTGAAGCTCCTGATTGACACAAAAAGCAACAAAATTCTGTTTGCTGAAGCAAGGAAGTTGTGGATTTTCTCTTCACCCTTCTGTCCTTGCATTTTGCAACTGTGACTAGGCTCCTCCTCTCTAATGGAGGCATGGTTGGTTGCTTAGGCAAACTTTACGAGAGCCTCGAAAATCTCAGTGACACATACATGCAACCCAATCTTAACAAAGACTCCCTGCTGAAACCCAAGACAACAATTTCTGGCGCTAGCATCCTTCAATTGCCAGCCAACAATGACTCGAATGCGCCTAAACGGTTCTACCTCTGTGTAATTGCAAGCGCCATATTTCTGATAGTCCTGTAACAACTTGTCCAACGTACATTTCACTCAAAATATCCGCCCAGGTGTTTAAGGCTTAAGCACATGCTCATTCTTCTCTGTCCTTAATATCCCCTCAATGGCTACCACCAACAGCGCTAGCGTGAGTTTGAAGCTTCTGATTGACACAAAAAAAATAGGCCCATTTTAATACAATGTTTAAGGCCATTTTACAAAACCCAACCCGTTAGTTATATTAAAAATTAGGTCAGATATCTTCTTCTTCCCAGCGTTGCCTTCTCCTTCCTCTTCGTCCCGATCTCTCTCTCTCTCTCCGTCTTTCTTCCTAACAAGCTGAGGATCCTGCGCGCTTCAACAGCCCTTCGTCCACGCCTCAACGGCAAAACGGCCGCCCAGAGCCGCCTAGAGCCGCCTAGGCCGCCTAGGCCGCCTAGAGCCGCCTAGGACCGCCTAGGGCCGCCTAGAGCCGCCTAGGCTGCCTAGTGGAAATAAATACATATTTATTCACTCATCTGTAGATTATATTCCCTATGTATAGGTAATGACAGATTTGTATATGTAGAGTTGCTTTGTGGTCGACTGACCCTCTTGATCCGTTCACCATTGCCATTTTTGAAATTTTGAATTTAGGATACTTTTTTTGTGAAGGTCTGTCCTTAATATCCCCTCAATGACTACCACCAACAGCGCTAGCGTGAGTTTGAAGCTTCTGATTGACACAAAAAGCCACAAAGTTCTGTTTGCTGAAGAAAGCGAGGAAGTTGTTGATTTCCTTTTCAGTTTTCTGTCTTTGCATGATGTTTCAACTGTTACTAGGCTCCTCTCAACTGATGGTATGGTTGGTTGCTTAGGCAACCTTTACCAGATTGCCGAAACCCTTAGTGTCAACTCATACTTGCCACTCAATCTTAAGGACACCCTGCTCAAACCCAAAACAACAATTTCTGGGGCCAATATCCTTCAATTGCCATTGCCGACCAACAATGACTAGAATCTTTCTAAATTGTTCTACATTTGTGTGAGGTGCGGTAACTGTATTTCTGAGAGCATGTAATATTTCCACCCCGGTGTCTTATGTTTCTCCATCTGCTCCTACTGGAGCAACCTCCAACAATATTAAGGCAGGCTATGTCAAGGGTGGTGTTATTTGGAAGTGAAGCCAATGACCACCGAATCAAGTGTTGCAGTACTTCAAAAGTTCAATGTGAAGGGGATTGATGCACTTCAAGTTAAGGAGGTTTCATGTCCTACATATTTCTCTAACTCTCTTATCAGTGGCTTGTTGATCTATTTAGAGAGCTAAATGTCTTGCGTGTATATCTCTCATGTGATTCTTCAGCTTCGATATCAATGAATTTGAAAAGCTATAAATTGTTAGGTCTTTCTAAGGCTTAGAAATATGCATATGCCTATTTGTCTTCAATATTTGCATCAATGGCACCCTCCAAGAGCACTAGCGTGACACTGAAGCTTCTTGTCCACACAAAGGGTCCCAAGGTTCTGTTTGCTGAAGCGACCAAGGAGGTTGTGGATTTTCTTTTCACCCTTCTCTCTTTGCCCGTCAGCACCGTGGTTAGGCTCCTCTCCAAGAACTGCTTGTTCACAGTGCACACATTATTGTCCTATCTCCACTCCAGTAAATTATGTTGCTCTGACGCAAGCACCTAGTAGCAATGTTGAAACGGGGACGTTGAGCGAGGGAGGGTATGTGAAGGGTGTTGTTACATATATGATCATGGACAATTTGGAAGTGAAGCCTCTATGTCTACCATTTCTGGTAAAACTATACTTAAGGGGTTAATGCTGGCATGGAGGAGGTCTGAATTCCTTTATATATATCATCTATATACTTCCCTATTTTAATTACTAATTTTCTATTAATAATTTCAGACAAAAAAATTTCTTATTAATAATCAATTAACCAATTACGCCAGTTAGTCAATGTAGTGTGTCTGTCCCTTTCTCAAATTTGATCTCATCCTTTACATTAGAATAGTTTAGAATATCGTTTTGTCAAAGAAAAAAACCAATTAATGTGTTCTTGTGTAAAGGAAGGCATAACAGTTTCTACTCTGTCCCTGCTCCATTGGAAATGAGATCGAAGTTCTGGATGCTAGCTTTTTTCTTTTTCTTTTTTGAACTAAGATTCGTATTGCTTTAGCAAAATGTCGTTTTGGGAGATTTCTTTAATTTGGATTTCAATTAATGAACTGCCTTGCCCTCACAAAATTCCTTAAGCTGCTCAAAAGACCCAGATTTCTACTATGCATTTCGCCTCGAAGCCATTTCTCTGTTTTTACAGGTAAAAAAATGAAATAGAAGAAGAAGAAGAAAAGAACACTTGTGAGCTCTGTTTCTTCAGTTAATTTCTCTCTTCTTGCATATTGGTCTAAACTTGTCATGATTTATCAAGCACAATATTCTGTAATTAAAGAGCTTGATTTTCTTGAATTTGGTGAAGGAGGCAACAGCGTGAGGGTTAAAAAAAATCTATAAATTTTTTTAACAAAAACCGCCTAGACCCGCCTAGCGCCTAGGCTGAATTTTTTATTTTTTATATTTTTGATTTATTTATTTATTCTGATGATTCTAGCGCCTTTAATTTCTGATGATTCAACGCAGATTTTTGACGTTGAGAGGTTTTAGGAAAGTTGCAAATGCCGTTGTTACAAGTCAGAAACACAGATTCTGCTAGAGGAATACCTCATTCTCATTGTACAATATCCTGGTCAAGAGGTGAAGCCCATAGTAGTTTCCGTAAAGGTTAGGCATCCTGGTGTTGGTGAATCGATTAGAAGAGATTTTTTTTCTCTTATTGTTTATACACATTGCGCAAGTTGTGCATTTATTATATGATTAACACACCCAAAAAGGTTCTAGTCAAGATGGTCATGTGGCTTTAGCGACAAAAAGAAAGCAGCATATAGCCGAAGCCGATTCTCAATGTCCCCACTTTGCACCATTATCACATCCTTAGTCCTCATTCTATGACGATGCCAAGCAAGTTGTATGATCACAGCCCCCCACGTTCTCCAATTCGACGAGTAATACCTCGCTGTACGTCTGAGCCCTTCATTCGAAAATTTGTAACGAAAATGATCGATGATGTAGTGAAGACAATTTGCATCCAAACCAAATGCCTCAATTGATTCCATGCAAGTAAATGTTGCTGAAGAGGGAGGAAGTCGACCTCTAAATGGGCGGCGAAGGCACCACGAGAGAAGCTCGTCACCAAAGAAACTGCCGGGTTCAAGCACACTGGTGGCTAGGAACCCTTTGCTGAGGCCTTGACTGCGTTTTATGCGTCCACGAACTATGAACATCATTCTTTGTACGGGGTCTCCTTCTCTAATCAACTATATAGTCATTTCATGCATCAGCAGTAGACAACTATATACGTATTTAGGTAGCAACACTCGAACAAATATACATATGACGCTATAGTTTCGTACCTTTTCACCCTTGGAGTAGATAATTGGCCGTACAAGATCACAGATGTTGTCAAGAATAACATCTTCTAACTTATGAAATAACGGTACCTAATAATGATTAGATGAGCAGAGATACAAAAGGTTGAATAAAATTTGTCACAAAATCAAGGTCATGGAAGGTGTTACCTGCTTGACAAGATCTAGGCAAAGGTAACGCTTGATGTCCCTGCGGAGGCCATCGGGGAAATGCTGGATCAACTCAAGCTCATCTAGCCCTTGCATGGCTGCCCAACTGCAACGTTGAAAATGGCGAACTCTCTTCCTCAAATGAGATGGCAACTGTCTTCGCTTCATCCAACATTCCATGTCTCGATATTTCAACTGCATTTTCTTCTTATTTTCCATCACCGAATGCAGAAATATCTACACAATAATACAACACAACACAACACCATCAACAATCAGCATTAAGTTATTAGTTATTATAATTAACTATGAAAATCTCTGTTCTGGGTGACCTGGATATTTCCAAGCAATGTAATGAAGAGACCCAAGCCCACAAGCGTTACACAGCAAGAGAATATGAGTTCAAGCCAGTCACTTGTAGGGATAAGGTTGTTGGCAAAGGAGCTGCAAATGAATTTATGCCAAGAGGTATCAAATACAATATGCTTTATGATTAGGAGATTATTAAGTAGATTGATAGGTTATTACCCGAGGTTAATTAAACCCCAATATATGGGGTAAAGGATCCGAACGGCGAGTGTGTTGCCAGCATAGACCACGAGTAGGGGTTTATAAATTCCATACCCAAATGTAGTATCTTCATCCAAGCACATTGTCGTTATCTTTGTGAATGCATTGCCACCAGAGAGCTTTCCAGCTGAAAAAACTTGTTTTGAGCAGTAGATAGAGAGGTTACAGTTTCTACTTGCTTCACACTGTTGCTGGAGACATGACATTACACGCTGTGTTGCAAGCACATGCCAACACCCTCCTGCAATCTGAATATAATAAACCAACACAGCTTCATTAGGATTGGAATTATTATATATAATATAGGATTAGAGCAGGGTTACGTACGTGAGAGGCGGTTAAGTAGGCAATGACGTTGAGCTTAAAACGCCACCAAATGTTGCCGTATGCAAATATGTAGCCTGTGACCTTCTTGAATCTTTTGGCCAAGTAAACGCTGTGGTAGAGCTTGGGGATGAATTGAAACAGGAAGGTTAGTAAGAGGGTCGTCATTATCAGTCTAGTCTTTTCCTCTCTAAGCAACCTTGGCACAATTAACCAAATTACGGTCTGCAAAACAAATATACATATGAAATTTGAGAGTCAAACGTTGAAACTTAGATAACTGGACTAAATTTTTTGGTGTTCTGGGTACATCACGTGGCTAGTGTATCATCCAATAAACGTAGGACATGTGGAATATTTCCAATGCAGCCAGTCACATATCATAAAAAACAATACAAGAATAATTCCATATGTCCTTTACGTATTGGATGGTAAAAGTCACATACTGTACTTGGAACATATAAAAATTGTCGATAAACAACAAGAACCTACCTGTATTGAAGAATCGAGAACTTTAGCGAATAACACTAGCTAAGTAAAATTATCATAAGATGTACTCTACCAAATAAGTAGAGTAATGGTAGGTTTAATTACCACATATGTAATGGCTAAAAAGAAATTACCACATATCTAATGGCAAAAAAAAATTACCGCACATCTAATAATACAAGGAATCTCACTGATATACCTGATATGAAAATATGATACAAATAATAGCACATGTATTAGTTCCATTTCATGCCATCATTACCAAAATTTTAATGAATTTATCATAATCCCATAATTTTCAAGTGATTGAGAATTGAAATCTGGCTGGAAAATAAAAGGAGTAAATGAGATGAAATGAAGGGGGGCACCTGAGGAATCGGTAGAATTACAAAGGCATCGAGCCAAAAGCCCCTGAGGGACCGCATGTAATGAAGAGAAATATCACGTGAGTCCCACACGAGTTTCCCGCACCCAATCACCATCGACTCGCTCGACACGTAAGCCAACTTGAACTGAAGCAAGATGTGGGCCATGTGCAACGCGTCCAAGCACGTGCGAACGACGGTGACGACGAGGGCAAGCGCCACGTCCATGTAAAAGCAGGGAGCCCCACTCTGGCTCAGCGCCAGGACGTAAAAAAAAAGAGGATCAACGGCGATGGACAGGCCGCGTGCCATGAGCACGATGCGGTTCCACCTTTTGACGCTGCTGCTACGTGGGTCGATGGCGCGAGGGCGGCATTTGAGGTCCGTCGAGGTGGGGAGTAGGGTCATGGAAGACCCGGCGGTGCGCTCCCACAGGAGTTGAGGTTGGTGGTTCGGGTCGCAGCGGGTGGAGTGGAAAACTGGAACTCCAACCTGAGTGCAAGCGTAGCATTCTTTGGAATTGAAGATTGGGTCGTCCTGGTCGTCACTGTCATTAATGTTGTTACAACAATGCTTGACTTTATTCAATTTCCACCTGAAAATTCAACCAAAAAGCACCGATAGATTAAGAGCAATTGTAATTCTTATAAGAAGAAAGATTGATGATGAATAACAAGTTACCTCGGGAGAGAGGGCAGCATGGCTGAAGATGAAGTGGGGATATATTTTTGGAATGAAATGAAAAAAGAAGGGGAGGGGATATAATGGTAAAATTGGGAGTATATGATAAGTTGAGGGCACGTAGCAGAGAAGGAAGGTGGCGGTGGCGAAGTGGTGATGAAGCGGGTAGAGGTTGTCGGGGAGTTGGTTTAGTTGGACCGGGGGTGGGGCCATGGACCCAGTCAATGTCAGCATATATATAGAGCATTTATATACAGAGGATGAGATGAGAAACGTGAGGGGGTTTTGGGTGTGTAGTGCATGCATGAGTTACAAGTTTTGATATTATATTTCGTCCATGTCTGCAGCTGTCAACTCGACCGTTACATGCATATATATATACAGTTGGACTAGCTACATCAACTGTGTGTGTATAAAGATACTAATTAACGAGAGGTTTTTTTTGTTACAAAACTAAACCTTCAGGAACGGCTATGGCACCTTCGATGTTATCGCTGGCACTTCCAAGGCGGTCTACACGGTGGCCACGTTGGGGCCTATTGCTGCTACTACAGCCGAGTGGGAGGCATTTAAGTACCAATCGGAAGCCGCTGTACTGAAGGAGCAAGTTAAGAAGTTGGAGGAGGCAATACAGGAGACTGTGCAAGGATATGATCAGATGCAAGTGGTGAGTTTGTTTTGTATTTTTGTTGTATTTTATATGTTATATTTGTTGAGACTCTGTTTTTGGTCACAGAACCACAAGGAACTCATAACAAACCAACAAGAGATGAAGAAAAATATTGAAGAAATGAATGGGCTGTTGCAGCAAAGGCAGAAGCCGAAGATGGAGCAGAAGAAGAAAAATACCAAAAAATAGCTTAGGGTTTAACATTATTTTACTTTTTAGGGATGATATTTTCAAACTTTGTAACTCAGACTTATAATATTGTAATTAAAGATATTTTTGGATCTTTCTTCCTTCTCTTCTTCTTCTTCTTTCCTGCTTCTGATTCATTTGGATGCAAATGTTTGATTTTGTGCAGTTTTATGGGTTTCTATAGATTACATTAAAGTGGGCACTTACTATGAAATCGACCACTCTAAGCTCCCTCCCATAACCGCACTATTCTTGTTTCTTTTTTCCATTTGTGATTTTTGTTTTCATATGGGTTAGGAGTTTTGTGTGCATTTGTGTATGCAGGTGAGTGGTGGCTCTCAGAGTGGCTGTGAGGTTCCCAAGCATTCACACTCTGCACACTCCTATCACCGAAGGAGGCTACACAAAACCATTGGCGAAGCATATTCTAGTGCTTAACGAATAGTACGTGGGAATTTTCGTATCTCGCGGTTTGTACAACCTCCTTGCTATCATTTTCTGACATAAATGCATATCCAATGTCCATTCAGGCAGTTTTTGTACATCACTTCATTATGAGTGACGATGAAATTTTCATAACATGCTCCCACTTCATCACATAAAACATGGGATGTCTTCGCTTTCATATTTCTGACAACTGCACTCTATTCGAATATCCTTCTCGCCAAGGTACACACAACTCCAATTATTTTGCGGTTCATCGTATTTCACTAAAATATACAACCGTCCTCCGAAATTATGAATTATGTTTTCAAGAATGAGTGCCGACGAAGCATTGATCTCGTTACATACCAATAAAAAATACCTATGTGTGTAAATTTGGGAAGCATGTTGCTCAAGACTTTTCAGTGTTGTTGTAAACACTTTCTTTGACTGTTTTCGGTGGTATGCATTCAAACAACTTAACGCATTTCCTCAAGTAATCTTTTACAAACTTGTTCATATACTCCACGCATTGAGTAGTACACATACCACCGAAAATTTGGGTCTAAGGCGTGATTTCATCCATGCATCTCGTTTTGCATACATCATTTGCAGTCATCCTTTTATTTATGTGTAATAACTCTATCCTTCAAAAACTCTCATTTATTTTCAAACTCATTGACAGTAATTGGTTCCCAAAGATATGCTTGAAATTATCGTACCAATTCTTCATCCTTTAAGTTATTCTGTGCATTCCTAGCCACGTGTCATGAGCACAACCTATGATTACACATGGACAACACATACTCAATTGCTTTGTGCGCATCGCCTCATCCCCATCTATCAGTATTGATATAGGCTTCTTGCATTTCATGGAGGATATGAATGTCTCCAATAACTACTTTTATGTTCCAAAGGTCTCGTCAAGCAATAGGGCACAACCAACACTCGCCCGGTAGTTGTTTGAACAAACAAATAACACTAGAGGCTTGTCATACATATTGGTTTTGTATGTGCTGTCGAATATGAGGACCATAATCCAAAAGTGAAATAGAGTTTCTCCAAAACAAGTTAGCAAGTCTATTCTCCTCATCTACACTGAACTTACAAAAAAATTCAAAATCCACTGACGCTTTTGCTTTCATGTAGGCGAGTGTAGCTTCGGTGTCGCCGTCTAACAATATTTCCCTACGTGATGCTTCCAACTTCTTCCTTAAATATCCAAGTCTTCAGCTCATGCATTGATGGAGGCTTAAATCCTACACCATATGTGGCAATCCCTTTCATCATAGGTAGCCAAAATTGGTCATTTACAATATTAAATGGGAGTGCTCTGGAGAAGAAAAAACGATCAATCTTTCAACAAACTTCCTTTTTTTCTTCTTGTTTGTATGCTGAATTTAATGTAATTTGCCGAGCTTCTAAAGTGACAAATTTATCCATTGGTCCTTTTCATTTAGGTTGTGCTCTAATAGCCTCATCAACTGCAACACTCCTAGTACCAGGTATTTCATATTCTTTATTCAATGAAGTTTCCATACTCTAAACCCCTCCTCGTGGACCATCCCCAATCTTTCTAAGCATTTCATTTTTCTTTCTTTTTTCAAGTTGAAAATTTTTCAAAGTTGCGGCACTCTTTTTTCACATGCTTAGAAATTTTCTTACATGGTTGACCCAAATGATGCTTAAGTCTAGAAATTTCTCCATTGCATCTTTGATCACAAAATGCGCATCTCAAGTATTTTTTCCCCTCTATTTCTTTTGCATACTTCCACGCAGGATCTTTTTGATTCATAGCTATAAAACAACACCATTATTATTTCTAAGATACAAGTATGATACATTTACGTCAAATTTCTACTATATCACATAAATGAATAAGATAACTAATATATTGAAAAAAAAAAATATACAGAACTTCAAATTACAGTTGCAAAGAATTAGAGAGAAAAATAAAATAGCTTACTTGCAGTCGAAAGATGAAGAGAATTCTTGAAATTAATGGAGATTATTTGGTAAGGGTAGAAATTAGGGTTGTACTCTACAATATATATATACTAGCTCCTTGGCACATGCTGGGGTGCTTTAGTTCATAAACATTCGACGTTCACCCGAAAAAAGGAGCAAATCAACTACTTTTTCAAACAAACGAAATGTTTGTTCACACGAACGCAAGGAGTTCGTCTGTTGATGAAAGTTGCCCGTTTCTCGAAAAAATAGCCCAAACCAACTTACTTTTTCAAAGAAATGAGGTATTTGTTCAAGCGAACGCAAGAGGTGTGTTCGTTCAGTAAAGTTACACGTTCCCCGGAAAAAAGGCTTCAACCAACCTTTTTTTTTCTTCAAACAAACAGGGTGTTTGTTAACACGAATGCAAGTGGTGAGTTCGTTGAGGGAAATTGCCCGTTTGCCGAAAAAATGTCCCCAATCAACTTATTTTTTCAAACAAACGGGGTGTTTGTTCAAACGAACGAAAGGGGTGTGTTCGTTCAGTAAAGTTTCTCATTCCCAGGAAAAATGGCCCAAACCAACTTTCTTTTTCAAACTAACAGGGTGTTTATTAACACGAACGTAAGAGGTGCGTTTATTGAGGAAAGCTGCCCCTTCGCCTAAAAAATGTCCACAACCAACTTTCTTTTTCAAACAAACGGGGTATTTGTTCGAGCGAACGCAAGGGGTTTGTTCATTCAGTAAAGTTTCCCGTTCCCCCAAAAAATGGCACAAACCAACTTTCTTTTTCAAACTAACAGGGTGTTTATTAACACGAACGCAAGAGGTGCGTTCATTGAGAAAAGCTACCCCTTCGCCTAAAAAATGTCCACAACCAACTTCCTTTTTCAAATAAACGGGGTATTTGTTCGAGCGAACGCAAGGGTTGTATTCGTTCAGTAAAGTTTTCCGTTCCCCGGAAAAATGGTCCCAACCAACCTTATTTTTCAAACAGACAAGGTGTTTGTTAATAGGAATGTAAGGAGTGAGTTCGTTAAGGAAAGTTGCCCGTTTGCCGAAAAAATGTCCCCAACCAACTTATTTTTTCAAATAAATTGGGTGTTTGTTCAACTAAACGCAAGAGGTGCGATCGTTAAGGAAAGTTACTCGTTCCCCGAAAAAGTGTCCCCAACCAACTTTCTTTTTTAAACAAGCAGGGTGTTTGTTAACACGAACGCAAGAGGTCTTGAGACCTTCAGGAACGACTACGGCACCAAAAGGACACAAACATTTGCAGATAAGCAGGAAAGAAGAAGAAGAAGAAGAGGAAGAGGAAGAAAGATCCAAAAGCGGTGGTGTACTTCATTACAATCCAAAGTTCCAAAAATCAAAAGCAAATCTGAAAAAGAAACAAGAATCCGCTGTTCTGTGCAGATAATGGTGTGGCTACTTAATTAACAGTTTGAAAAAATAAACCCTAAAGCCTATTTTTGTTCTTCTCATCCATCTTCTGCATCTGGTCCCTGAGAGCAGTAAACCCCTCGTTCATCTCTTCCTTCTCTCTCTTCATCTTCTGCATCTGGGGTCTAACCTCAGTAAGCTCCTCGTTCATCTCTTCCTTCTCCCTCTTCATCTTTTGCATCTGGTCCCTGACCTCAGTAAGCTCCTCGTTTATCTCTTTCTTATGCCTCTTCATCTGTCACAAAAAAAAAATAGTTAAAAAAAAAATTAAAATTGAAATAAAATGAAGAAGTGCAAAAACCAACCTCCTCAGTATCTTCAGACCGATACTCGTTGAGTTTCTTGTCCAACACTCTAAATTTCTCCCTCAGCTTGGCAGACTCGGCCTGATTTTTAAAAGAGTCCAAAGTTGCTGCTGCTGCAGCACCCCCGTATAATATTGTAATTAAAGATATTTTTGGATCTTTCTTCCTCTTATTTTTCTTCTTCTTCTTCTTCTCTGCTTCTCATTCGTTTGGACGCAAATGTTTGATTTTGTGCAGTTTTATGGGTTTCTATAGATCACATTAAACTGGTCACTTACCCGTTTTCCCGAAAAATATCCCAAATCAACTTACTTTTTCGAACAACGGGATATTTGTTCAAGCGAACGCAAGAGGTGTGTTCGTTCATTAACGTTTCCCGTTCGCAGTTAAAATGGACCCAACCAACTGAATGTTTCAAACAAATGGGGTGTTTGTTCAACTAAACGCAAAGGGTGCATTCGTTAAGGAAAGTTACTCGATCCCCGAAAAAATGCATTCGTTAAGGAAAGTTACTCGATCCCCGAAAAAATGTCCCTAACGAACTTACTTTTTCAAACAAACGGGGTGTATGTTCAACTGAACGTAAGGGGGTGCGTTCGTTCAAAAAAATTCGACGTTCCCCCGAAAAAGAAACCCCACTACCAAGTACCAACTACATTCCAAGGATTATTTAAGTTGAGTTACTTCCTATAACAGACATTACATTTCAACGCCAAAAATTTCACATCTTTAACTAATAACATTGCTCATACTTACACTCATGCGTCTTGCACACAATCTGAAAGAGGAAAAAGAAAACTCAAACAATATGTCACATTCAATGGTTGGTAGCTTAAGAGGCTCCTCCACGCCTAAGAACAAGAGGGTGGGTGATGATGATGATGATGATTCTTCGAATTATGTCTGCCAACGAGTGACTCGAGCCCATGATGTCATGAAGCCTCCCACCAAGGCTAGTAACAACATATTTCGTGAAGGAAAATCAGTGACCAAATACAACATTTACAATGGCGGGATTGAGATCGGCTTTGAGATGTTTAGGAAATACGCTCAACTTGTTGATGCTGGTTCAACTAAGTGGGACAATATCAAGGTATACGAAGCAATTGAAATTTTGGAGAAGCGAGCTCCGTGAAGCACCAGTATTTTAAGATTTGCATTGTGTTCTTTGTCATAGAATCGGATGTAATTTCAGATGTTATAATTTCGGCCGTAATATCGGATGTTATATGTTATAATCGGTATGGTAGAATAGTTTGAGGGTTTAGTTTTGTAACAAAAAAAACCTCTAAATATGGTTACGAGTCCTTGGAAGTGACAGCGATGGCATCGAAGGTGCCATACCGTCTAAGTTATGCCGATTAGCGGCCATGTTTTGTCCTTGATGTAACTAACTTGATCTAGGACAACTTAGACGGTAGATAGTGGTTTTTAGACAAGTTCTTTGTGATTTATTCTCTTCAAATCCTTTCAGCTCTAGAGTTGACTTTGGTCAATGGGGACGCTTTACTCATATTCATCGTATTACTATTCGAGATGACTCTCTATATACGTTTTCAATTAATACAATAAAATACTATCGCTTGTTTGTTCAAAAAATTAACAAGAACATTTTAACCATAATTTGGTCACTCCACTTAAAAAGAAGGGCTTGTCCAATATAGGTCCCTACATTTACTATTTCCTAGACATATACTCATCATTCTATAAATCTATGTATAAAACCCAATTTCAAACTTAAATGACCAGTAGGATATAAGAGGTCGTACTATTCCTATGTTTTTATATCCTTGCCATCAGACTTCATATTTTATTTATAATTTATTCCACACATTTCATTAACTGTCATAATTGTAATTAAAACTCCCTATTAATAGCATATCAATCACCCCATTTCTTTTGGTTGCCATTCCCTCTAACATATGGCCCCTTAAAATTGCAAATAAAAAAAATATGTAAATTATATATGCAATAATGTACATATAAAAAATATAAATATAAATATATATGTATAAAAATATAGGTATATTATTTACCAAAAAAACAAAACAAAAATAGGTCAGTTACTTTGTAATTGAAATTTCTGTACATTTTTCATAAATTATAAATAGGTACACAATAATTTCTAGAAAATAGGTATGTCGTATAATTGAAATTTATGCACATTTTTTATAAATTAAAAATAGGTACATTATTTAGAAGAAAAAA